ATATGCAGTTCTCGCCACCGCTCACTCGGCATATGCAGTTCTCGCCATCTGCTGCGATGGGATTTGAATTCTTATCCTCAGAAAATTAGCCTGGGACTCTGGATGACTAAGAGTGACATTACCACTACGATACCACTTTCCAATTCAAGTCCAACTTCTCTCTTCCGTGATTAGAGATGAGAGGAACTGGATGAAGGGTCAAATAAAGTAAAACACAAGAACAGCCTAGTATTGTAACGGATTGCAAAGATGGAAGAGCTTAAAGCAGGAACATAGAAACTAGGATCAGGAGCAGGTTATTGGAGCCTGCTCTGCCATTCATTATGATCATGGACTCAATAGCCTATTCTCACATATCATTTGATCCTTTTAGCCCCATGTGCTATATCCAACTCCTTCTTAAAATCGTATGTTTTGGCCTCCACTGTGTTCTGTGATAGTGAATTCCACAGGCTCACCACTCTCGTCATCTCAGTCCTAAATGGTTTCCCCCAAATCCTTTGATTGACGCCTTTGGTTCTGGAACCCTCCCTTCCTGCATCTATGCTGTCTACTCTTGTTCAAATTTTATAGGTTTCTACAAGATACCCCTTATTCTTCTAAACTCCAGCAAGTACAACCCTAACCAATTCAACCTCTCCTCCCCATATGTCCATCCTGCCATCCCAGAAATCAGTCTGGTAAACCTTCGCTGCATTCCGTCGATAGCAAAAATTTTCAATGACTGGTATATGAGCTATCACTGCGCATTCCCCTCTCAATTTATAGCTATTCTAATGATAATCTACCATCCTGTGTCTACTACAAGTGGATAATCTCAATTATTCTTCTTATCGCTGCATTTGCCCACTCAACTCATCCGAATCACACTAAAACATCTGCTTCCCCCTCACAGCTCACAATCCCTTAAAAATACTAGGCTGTTCTTCTCTTTATTTCACCTGTCACTCAGTGCCTCGTCTGTACTCATTGGAAAGAGAAGACGAACCTAAGTTGGAAGGTGAGGTAGTGGTAATGGGCTTGTCGTCCAGCTGTGTCATCTGCAAATTTGGAGATATTACATTTAGTTCCGTCATCCAAATCATTCGTATATTAGGGAATAGCCGAGGTCCTGGTACTAATCCCTGCAAATGACTGTCATTTCGAAAAAGATTTATTTATTCCCAGTCTGTGTTTCCTGTCTGCCAACCAGTTATCTATCTATCACATAGAAGAACAGCCTCATGAATGGACCTCTCATATCAGAGTTAATCTTTCTCTGCACATTCTCTGTGAAGCTATAGCACTATATTCTGCCTTTTGTTCTATTACCCTGATGTAGAGTCATAGTCATAGATCACGGAAACAGACTCTTCCTTTCAACCAGGCCATGCCGACCATAATCCCAAACTAAACTAGTCTCATCTGCCTGTGTTTGGCCTATATCCCTCCAAATATTTCTCATTCATGTACTTATCAAAATGTCTTTTAAATATTGTAACTGTACCTGCATCCACCACTTCCTCTGGAAGTTCATTCCATACACAAACTACTGTGTAAAAAAG